AATAATCCTGCCCACTGATTCAGAATAGGAAGAAAGGAAGATAATGAATATTAGTTGAGTGATTAAATATCAATTTCTATTCCAAGGTCTCCAATACATTTATTTTTATTCTCTAAAACAATTCTTCAAAGTAAGGATCACAATCTCCATTTCACAGATGAGAAATATGAGGCTCAGAGAGGTCAAGAATTTGATCCAGTTTACAGTTTGTAAAGTGACAGATATGAGATGCCTACTCCAGTAAGTCTGATTCTAAAGCTTTTGTTCTTTCCACTCTATAACTGTATTATTTCATCTCTTTTGTGTTAATCAGGATGGGTTTATAACCTTTATTTGAATTTTAATGGGGAAGAAGCTTTACAATGTATCATTGGAAATGCAGTAGAAAAGAAAGAAATTTCTAAGCCTCTCCTTCCATTTATGGTTCTTCCGGAAAGCGCTAACAACCAAGAGAATGCCATATTTCAGCCCTCAAAGCAGATTAAAACAAACATTCTCATCAGCTATGGTTTATACCACAGCAAAATTTTGTGTTACCCATAACTAAAATATGCCCCTCATTTTGATAATGAAGATCCCAGGTCTCACTGTACCCCTCGTATCATTCATCCAATTCTGGCTGGCGCTGCTCCATGGCTGCACTCCCAGAATCAGTACATTCCCAAGCCAAACCATTCTTCTATTTTGTATTATGTCTGCTTTAATGGGGGAAGGAGTCTCAGAGAAAAGGAAACAGATAGAGGCTGTGTAAACACAGCATATCCTAGGCTTCAGAGTGAAGTAATATTAGAGGAAGTTTGAAATTTTGCAAAGTGATAGCAATTATACAGTTTAAGCATAATTACATGTAAGCATCATATATAATATAAAAGAGAAAGATACTATAAGCAAGTGGCAAAGAAAGATGGAAATGGGTATCAGTGCATACACAGGAGAAAAAGAAACAGACCCTCAGAGGATTAATACAATTTCTCCTTTCAGTGGCAAGCACAAGGCAGTTGAATTTCACTTACTTCTCTATTTGACAAGGTTGTTTTCATGATCTCTTCTATTTCTAGCCAAATGTTCTCCAGTGCAGTACTCCTCAAACTTGACTGTGCGTGAAAACCACTAGGAGAGTTGTGAAAATGTGGGTTCTGATCCAGTAGCTCTGGAGAAAGGTCTGAGAGTCTGTGTTTCTAACAAGCTCGCAGTTAATATCCATGCTGCTGGACAATTTTAGAACCCCATTTGAGAAGCAAGGCTCTTGTTCGTAAGACACTATATTGTGGAGTATGAGTGGGGAGAGAAGTAAAAAGATCTACTGCCTTAGAAAATGGAGTTAAAAAGAATATTTACTTACTTTGCATTTCTAAAAATTCTCCAATTTTGGGATATCAGTATTGACATCTTTTATCAGACTGATTTCAGAAACTCGTTATGCCTTCCTTTTTAACATAAACAACATTTTTCTTGTATCGCTGACTTCTAGCATTTGAGACTAGTTAGTTCCTCAAATGTTAAGTCTGTGTTTATGTAACAAAAAATGAATCTAGATTTCTGTTTTCAAGGGTTCAATAGGATTCTTTTCTTCTCTTATAGATGAATCTGTGAAGCCACAAAAGTCAAAACCAACTAAGGCATGGTGGCTCATGCCTATAATCCCAGCACTTTGGGAGGCTGAGGTGGGAGGATCACTCGAGGCCAGGAGTTGGAAAGCAGCCTGGGCAATATAGTGAGACCCTGTCTCAAAAAACAAACAAACAAACAAAAAAAATAGCTGGACATGGTGCTGTGTACCTGGAGTCAAAGCTACTCAGGAAGCTGAGGTGGGAATATCAGTTGAGCCCAGGAGTTTGAAGCTGCAGTAAGCTATGATTGCAACACTGCACTCCAAACCCTATCTCTAAAAATAAAATAAAAATTTATAGAGTGAGACCCCCATCTCTAAAAATAAAATAAAAATAAAATAATGTCATTATTTGTATAAGTGTATACATATGTCATCTGAATCAAAATGGATTTTAAGGCAAAAATATATACAACACAATTTCGAAGTTTCTTTTTGACAAGCAGTAGTAGGTTTCAGTCTAGCCAGGGGTGACCTAGTCTAAGAAAATGCTCCATAAATAATTGAGGGATACAGATTTGCTCCTTCTCTTTCAGAAGCTTCTGGCTAGAAAAAAAAATATTGAAATAAGATTTCCAGTTATGAAGTAAAACAGTATCTCTGTTAGTGGTATAGTGAAATAAAGCTTGATTATTCTCATTTCCCAGATCAGAAAATCAAGGCATGGAGAGGTTAGACCACTTGTTCAAGATTGCTGGAGTCATTAGCTACAGAGGATAAGGCATGAGAATAAAAGCCAGCTCACTGATGCTGAGGCCAGTTCCTTCCTCTCCCTATGCTGCCTACCTGCTTAGGTTTCCACCCAACTTGGCTTTCCTGTCCCCTGGGCTTCTCACCTTCAGAAATGTCATTGACCCCTTAAAATTTCTGGGCTCAAGTGATCCTCCCACCTCAACTTCTTGAATAGCTGAGACATAGTGCACACCGCCATGCTCTGCTAATTTTCTTTCAGAGGCAGGGTCTCGCTATGTTGCCCAGGCTGCTCTCCAACTCCTGGCCTCAAGTGATCCTCCTGCCTCAGCTTTCCAAAGTTACGGAATTACAGACATGAGCCACCATGTCTGACCTGATTTTTATCATTGATATGCTGGAATTTGAGGCAGTTACTAACTCAGTTTGCCAGTGAGATATTAAGATTGGTTCTCAGCACAAATGAATGTCCTGTTTCAATATTTTTGCCCAGATCCACTGGTATATTATTAATGGTAAACTTCACTTGCTCTCTTATAACTCCTGTCATGTATTATGAGATTTGAGAAGTCTAGTCTTAGAACTCTAATCTTCTCCTGCTACCCCAATTTCCTTTCCTTTGGCCATTCCCAAATCCAACTCTCTGTAACCCATGATCCTGCCTCACACAGCTCAGTTACTCAGAGAGTGATGAAGGAAAGGAAAAGTGAACTGTCTTTTTTTAGAGAATCCTGGCCCATTCACAATACAAGCATTTGTTCTATCCTTCACAGCTAGGATAATCAAATGAGTCATAGTCTACATCAGGACACTTTTGAAAATGACAGGAGCAAGGTTAAAACTAGGCCAGGGTTACAGGCATAAATTAGGACTGTGCTAGGCATATTCTAACATGGTCAACCTAAAAATGGCTACACAGGGCTCTCCACGAACTCCTCTAAGATTTCACTGGAAAAGTCACTGAATGCCGGGAAGTTTAGTGGACCCTGAGCAGTAATCTATGCATGAAATGTGGTGTACAGCCTCTAGAAGTTTCACTACATTGTAACTTTCAGGTGTCAATTGATTTAACAACTTTTAAGATCTCAAATTATAATGAACATATGCAGAGATATGCACAAAGCAACAGAGTAAAGAAAAAGATGAGACATATTAATATTAATTTTTTTTATTTTTACTTCCAGCTGACTTAAAACCTCTAACTGTTTATTGGATATAAAACATTTTCTGTGTTTGCAAAAAAAAAAAAAAAAAAGAACACTTACATCAGAAACTAGTGTTGATCAAAGGGAGAAATCCAGTTTATATTTAATTATCGTTGGCTCCCTACTCCCATTCTTTGCTTAAGAGCCAAGTTTATGTTTAATTTTAAAAGGAAAGCAAGGCTGAGAAGTGATAAATTGTACTCACTAAGAAGATATTAAAATATTCTTATTTCATAACACATTTTAAAATCTGGAAGTCCCCTGTACAGTGACATCTAATTCCCTCATAGAATGCAACAACACAGAGAATGGGGTATTGTATCATCTTAAGCTGCCTTATAGATGCTATCTCTAAAATATTTTCCCATTTGTTTCTTAACAACTCCAATCTTTGTCTCCAATAGTTTCCTAATTCTTAGTCTCCTTGAATTTATTTGCAGCCCTTGTGATCTTTTGCAAATGCTTCTCGGAACCTGTATCTCCCCAGTATAGAACATTTCAAGGGCCCCCAATAAGGAAACCACAAAGTATTTAACCCAATTTACAAATCCCTACAACATCTATGCCTCCAGACTTACCGCTGAGAAAGTAATGGGCTTGCATTTGTTGAATGATTGTAACCAAAGATTAAAGAGACATGCCAAGCCTTTCTCTCAAGTGACTTACTTTCTTTGAAAAGGTAGTTAAAATACTAGTGTTGGGATGGACTGAGATATTCCAAGAGCTGGTTGGAGAATAGTTTTTATTTCTGTTTTGCAGAGCTCGTGGTAATTGGGGAAGTGAATAGGAGGAAGTAAGAGGGAACTGAAATTGTTTTAGTCTAGGAAGCAGGTGGAGGAACTGGGTTCCAAGCTATGGAGAAGAGCCGAAACCTGGAGGAGTGGAAATGAAACAAAAATGAAAACGGAGCCGAGAGACCAAGATTGGAAGAGAACTTTCCAAACTATGTTTAAATCTCTTTCAGGTTGCAAGAGCTCATTTCATCAAAAGAAGACTTAGGTTTGATGTTTGGTGCCATAGATGTGGACCCTTTGACTCAGTGATTCTCAATCTTGGCTGCACATTGAAATCACAAAGACATTTATAAGATGATAATTTACAGCACTCAACTCTGGATGTTCTGATTTAACGGTTTTAGGTGGGGCTCAAAAGTGTAGTGTTTAAAAGCTTCCCTCCTCCACCCCGCCGCCACCACCAGGTGACGCTTGTGAAGATGAAATGAGATTACCCAAATGACTTCACTTTACACAGGGCTCTCTAAAGGTTGATCTTATTGATAGGATCCTATCTTATTGATAGGATTACTAAATCAATGGCCACTGAATTTCAAAGCAAATGGGAGAAAGAGCACAGTTATGGACTCTGCTAGGGCCTAAGCTCTGTTCATAACAACTTTTTCACCTAAATCTTGAAGTCCAAGTTAGGTAAAGAATAGGGTCAAGCAGCCCAGGAAAAGGAAGAGCACACACAAAGGCACAAAGGTGAGAAATAGCATATTCTGTGCAGAATGCATTTAATTTTCTGATTTATTCAACAACCATTTATTGCGTACTTAATCCATGCTTCACACTGTCCTATTCAGTGGGGGCATAAAAGTGACCAACAAGAAATTTGCAAACTGAAGTGGATTGGACATAGCAAGGCTGTCTTCTCCTCTGGAGTGCCTGCAATGGTGGGTTGGTCAAGTTGAACTTCAAAGGAACCTTTAGGAGCAAACAAGGGGCAGGACCTTCCTGCGGTGAAGTTCTCATGCCTCAACTAATTCAGAATCAAAGACAGGAAGTCAGGAAGAACGGGCTTAAAAGTCCAGTGTGGTTAGCTTCACAAAAGTACATGAGTAAGGGTCTCATATACATCCTCTTATTGGCACACTGCAAAGTCTCTGCAGTATGAAACAGTATTATTTTTATTATTGGCTCTTCAAAGCAAATGTTAATAAATCGAGAAAAAAATTTAATACCTAGTAAGTATTAATCCCACAGAAACTATAAAATGCATTTAATATTAATATACAAAGATTTAAACACTTATTCAGATCTTCAGATGTGCAGTGACCCAGTTCATCCAAGTTTTAGTAGTTGCCAGAAACTCTTTATGGAAAGATACATAAATTCACAAACACATATACAGGATTATTGTGATCGTAACTCTTCCCAGACATGTTTTTTTCACTAAACATTTTCCATGTTTCTAAGGAAGTATTTGTATGAATCAAGAGTAGTTTACCAAGCCAGCCCAGGGAGAACCAGGACCAATCATATAGAGACCCCTGGGCACCGAGGGTGTTCCATAAAGTGACTGGGAGTTGAGAGGGGAAGCTGGAGACTCAAAAACCAGCTACAACACATAAGTTAGTGCAGTGATTTGCAAATATGGTCCTAGAACCAGCTATGTCATCATCACTGGGAACGTGATAGAAATGCAAATTGTCAGGCCAGGATACACATTGAGCCAGACACCTTGAGGGTAGGATCCAATAATGTGTGCTTTAACAAACCCTCCAAGTGACTTGATGGTTGAGAACCACTAGATTAACGGTCTCCACTCCTGGCTACTTATTGAATCTATTTAAGGACTATATTAGTTTTCTAGGGTGGCCATGACAAATACCACAGACTGGGAAGCTTAAATGAAAATTATTTTCTCACAGTTCTTAAGAATAGGAGTCTGAGATTAAAGTGTTCACAAGGTGGGTTTCTTCTGAAGCCTCTCTGCTTGGTTTATAGATAGCAGTCTTCTCACTGTCTTCACATGACATTTCTTCTATGTGTCTATCTCTGTGTCCTAATTTCCTCTTCTTAGAAGGACATCAGTCAGATTAGGGTCTACCCTAATAATATCATTCTAACTTAATTACCTCTTTAAATATGCTATCTCCAAATACAGTCACATTCTGAGGCACTGGGGGTTAGGGCTTCAATATATGAATTTTAGGGGTGTTGTGAGATAACACCCTAAATAGCTCAGATCATAGCAAGAACGTTTCATTTAAAAATATCGGTATCACATGAGACCAACTGACTCTGAATTCTTAGGGGTGGGGCCACGGCATAAGTATTTCTTAAAAGCTCTCTTGTGAGTCATATGTGTAGCAGGGCTGAGAATCAGGCTATAATGGGTAAAAGGCCAAACAGTTGGGCACATGGCAGAAGATGTAGCCATCAGTGGCCACATGCTGCCTGGTAAGGCAGGTAGACCCTACCAGGAATAGAGGGTGCTATGAGGTAGCGGGAACTCAACCATAAGAAGTCTGGCTTAGGGAAGCACATGCAGTCAAAAGCCCTAAAGCAAGAGTGAACAGACTGAGAATTCAGGTAATAGCATAGAGGTGTGTGAGATAGCCAGTTTATAAGACACCAACATCAGAACAAGTGTGAAAGATGAGAACTCAGCTGTAATCCACAGAGCGCATTTGACTCTGGTGGCACAGGTTTGTGACCAGGGTCTCCTGGCCAGGAAGTTGTTGCCAGGGCCAGAGGATACAACTGCAGAAACCCAAGAGATGTCAGTGAAGGAATTCAGATGGCATCTGAGGCTTTTACAAGACATCCTGCCTTTTAATATCTCAAATACACATATCTCTTTATAGTGTTTTATAAAAAAGGAAAACAAGACAAACAGCAATAACAAAACCACTGCCCTGAAGATAAAATGTATTTATGGTGTTAGGAGGCTGTGTGAAGAGCTATCCAATTCCTAGTGAGTTCCTGGACTTTATATTCTGTGGGAGATGAGGAGTCTCAAAGAGTGACTGATTAAACATCTAACCACTTTTGTCTTGTCAAAGCCAACAATCTCTGCTTTGTTATACTTCAGAGAGAGGAAGCCAGTTGTGTTCAAATTGTCACTATTAGCTTCATTTCCAATACCACAAAAATTAAAGGACTGTTGCAAAGAAACAAATGGAATCCAGGAAGAACACGCAATCTCTTTGAAACCTCTTCACCCCCATCCACCCACCTGGCCCAGAGATGGAGGAATTACAGGGAACCCAGCTGAGTAATAATGTTGTTGATTCCCTGCTAATCGGATTTTTCTTGAGTCCAGCAACAGTCAAGTGTTTACAAGACTCCTCTCTTCAAAACAACTCAAAAGACATTCCCAGCAGAGAAGCTAGGAACCAGCAAATCAATAATGTAGGAACTTCTACTAAGGATTTTCATCTGCCCAGCAAGGAGAATATTTATTTATAGAAAAACTGGCCACTCCAGTTTAGTGTGGTAATAACATGGTGCAGCTAGTTCAAAGAGTGGCATGGTTGAACACAGCCTTGTATTATGCCCACAGTAAATGGTCTCCATGAGGAAAGGCCTATAATTTAGAGAGATTTGCCATGGATGGTAAAGCCCGGGTCATTGTAACAGATACTTTTTACCAACTCTATTTGTGGAGAGGGCATGCAAAAAGGAAGGAAAAAGGTTAGCTTCAGGAAACCTGGAAGGAGAAAGTAAGCCTCATTTGTTTTTACCTACATGAGAGTTATCTTACGCCCAACCTGAAGCCTTCCTTGATGGTTGGAGACAAATTTATTACAGAGGCACAGAATTTTTTACTTGCAATATATATGTTTTGTTCCCTAAAGAATCATTTCTCCACTGTCCTGCTTATACATTATCTCTCTCTACCTGCTCCTTGAATGCTGAGGAAAAACGATGCACTCTTCAATTGCATTTTTGTATTAGCGGGTATATCATTGGGTGGAAGTCAGAAAACACTGACTCAAAATATCAAGCTCTTCTCCAGGGAATTCCCTGGGGCATGGCTCTTTTGGCCTTCTGTTGTTTATCCCATCAATCTTTGTCATTGCTACTGGAAAAGCAGGAGGTGCAGATTGTAGATGTGGCTGTTTCAAAGCCAGTCTCTGAAGATGCAAGTAACAATTTCTTAGACCTATTTTTTTTAATCATCAGGTAAATACTCTGTCAGGAATTAGGAATTGTACATCTGAACTTATCTCTCTGTGTCTGTCTACCACTGTCATTTCTAGTTTTTATCAGCCAGCTGTGATGCAGTCCCAAAGATGATATTTGTAAAGTGGTATGCTGGTAAAGATTTAAAACTGGCTCTCTGGGGAAAATACGACTGATTCGTATTGTTTGACAATTTTCTTGGTGTAAATACTTCCACGTGGCTCATTTCAAGCTATCGACATGAAGTTCTTGGAAGCAAAGTTGGGAAGAGATACATCATTATGTAGTATTTCCAGAACACAAATACAGTTGAAGGAAAAAAAAAAACCCAGGAGTATATATAATAATAAAATGTAGTAAAATAAGTAGTAAGTGATAAGCTTTGAGTATTTTTGAGCTTGTTTTTAATTAAATTTACATAACTGTAAGTTTATATAATTTAGTTTTTTAAATGTTTGTGTTTATCATCCATCTTTACAAAATTCCCGAAAATCCAAGATTGCCTTACATGAACCAATAGTAGCCAGTTTCAGCTCACCGCTGGTCCTCTGGAAGGTGAAGCCCAGATTTATGAATGAAAGGAGAACCCAGGCCCACAACATCAAGCATTACATACTGTGAAAACCTTGAGCCTGTGAGCAGAGAAGAGGCTGATCAATTGGCACTATGGACTTGAGGAATAAACACAAAACCACATTTTCAGATTCCAGCCTGTAGGGCAGAGGTCACCAATTAGTGGGCTGAAAAATATCTTTTGTTGAGGAGTTCTGATCCCACTGGGCCAGCTTGTGCATTTAGCACTGCAGAAATCAGCTGGATCTGAGAGGTAGCTGCCACCTTTGGGTAAGATTTGTGAACTCTATTTTACAGCTATCCAAACCTCTCATTCCATGGCTTATTGCATTCATTTACATTGCCTCTGAAGGCAGGAGTGCTCCAAGTAAGCACTTAGCCAAGTACACCCATTCAAGAAGCCTCATCGCTTTAAGTGACATCTACATGCTGATGCATTCCTCCCCTGAATTGGAGACTCCCGTATCTAGCCACTGCCTACTCAGCATCTCTCCTTGAACATTTAACAGGCAGTTCAAACCTAACATGTTCAAAAGTGAACTGCCCCTGTCACTGTGTTCACCAACTCAGTAAACAGCTACTCCATCCTTCTAGTTTCCTAGCCAAGAGTCATGGCCTCATCTTTGACACCTCTTTCTCTGTCCCACATTCTATCTGGTGGCAAATTTTGTCATCTCTGCCTTCAAAATACATTCAGAAGCTGATCTTTTTACCACATCCAACACAACTTTCATAATCTCTCCCCTTCATTATTGCAATAGCATCTTAGTCAGTCTCTGTTTCTGGCCTTGCCCACCTACTGCCCATTCTCACAACAGCTACAACTGAGCCTTTTACAATTTAATTCTAGTCATGTATTTTCTCTAGGGAAAGAACTCAAAGTCTCCCTATTTCACTTAGAGTAAAAGCCAGAGTCCTTATGCCTTTGCTTCTGCTGTTCCCTAAGAAATGTTCTTTCCCCAGATATTCTCATGGTCCCCTTTCCCATCTACTAAGCCTATTCTGAATGTCATCTCTTCACCTGTCTTCAGAATTGTAACCTCCAGCAAAATCCCCTTTGGCTTTCTTCTCCATTGCACTTATCACTAGCTGAAAGACTGTACATTTTACTTTTTTTCCTTCCTGGAAGAAGTTAAGCTTCCTGAGGGTAGAGATTTCTATTTTGTTCACTGCTGTATCCCCAGCACCTAGAAACAATGCCTAGCATGGTGGGTCTCAGCTATCAGTTGGAGCAATGGATACCCACCCATAGGAAATGAAGTTATTTCAAATACAATTAGGGAGGTGTGGTAGGATGGGAGAGGAGGTAGGGAGAAGGGAGTTAGAGGAGTCATAGGAAAATGCAACATTCCAATTGGACAACTGAGAATCTAGCCTCTTCAGGTTTCTTGCTGAGAGTCAGTGAAGGGTGTGGAATTTTAGAAAATTCCAGCACTTCCGACGTGGAGTAGGGGCATATATAAAGGCAGGCTGTGTGCTTTCCCAAAAAGAACAATACTTTGAAGTGAGATAAACGTTGTTGCTGCTCCTGTCGTTATTTTCTTGGGCATATAATTTAATCCCTCTAAACCTCTCCTGGTTCTCCTTTCATTGAATTCTTCCCCTTTTAGGCAGCTGGCTTCTGTGGCATCTTTTACTCCCTTGATCTCTTAAAGGATGTGCCTAGCAGCCTTTCTACCACCCTCTTCTCTTCTGACTCTAGCCTGATAGAACCACACCTTTCACCTTCCTGATTTCACTCACGCCACTCCCTTAGCCTGAAGAAAACAGACAAATTCAGACAGAGACGACAGTGCAAATTCAAGTCTACCCTCTGTTCAGCTCAAATTGTCTTTGTGTTCCCATGATCCCATCTCACCCACCTCCCTCATAGCTGCAAGATGTCATGGGACAAGTGTAAGCCTTAGAG